GAAACGGGTTCAAAGAGAAGCGAATCTTACATCTGATTTTGATGCGCGAATCTCATTTTCTACTAGATTTCTAATACTTTCAAAGAAACCCTCGTAAGACTTGTGTGTGAGAAAATCTAATTTGTTTAAAAAGTACGTTTAAAATAAAAATATAGCATTAATTGCAGACGCCTTTTTTAACCCTTACTAAATCCTTGTATGGGGGACTGTGAACATGTTAAAATTAAATATATTATATTTTAAACCAATAGAATAGACATTTCATAAATAATTCTGTAGTAAAAATTCTTCCGACAAATTGGTCGTTTGGACAAATAAGCACTAACTAAGACGACGATCAATTAAAGCTCGTCTACAACTGCTCGTTATATTATAATTACATCCCCAATCAGAATTCTTGTATGGCTGCAGGGTTACATAGTACAGACTTCTCTATTAAGATTCAACGTTATCACACTTGTAATTAACATGTTATTATGCATTATAGTAATCTTTACATATTATAAAATTCTGAGTCGAATCTGTACATTAAATATTTTTTGGAAAATCCTATTGAAATACACATTATTATCGATATAGAGTCCGAATCTAGAAGTTTTTAAAATTTTAGTCTGTCTGTCTGTTGGTCTTGAAGCGCATTACGAAAAAACCACTGGACCGATTTTGTTGAAATTTGGTATGATGATAGTTGGTTAACCGTGCCAACATAACTTTTTACTACGGGAAAGTATCTCATCTCAGAGAAATCTATACTAAACGTTAAAACGTATCTAGGCTGACTTAGAATTACTTACTAAGCTACATCGGACTACTTATTATAATATATGCAAAAGGTTGTATATGTGTATGTTTGTTACTCTTTCACGCCTTAATGGTTGAACGGATTTCGATGCAACTTAGTAACACAGGCTACTAACAAAACTTACATCCAGGGACGAACTACAGCGAAGCTAGCGTAAGTCGTCTAACACTTTTAAATAATTAAAATGCTCTTCTTTTTAACCGTGCAAGGTAGAGGGTTGAAATTTCATAGAATATTATTAGGAAAGATTTACTAAAAATTACATAAATCAAGGCTGTTCTCATAATAAAAATAATATTTATCGCTCTATTGTCTGTTTATTAATTACTAGCGACTCACCCTCGCTTCGCTCGAGTTCGTCCCTAGGTTGATTCCCTATACAAACTTTCATCCCCATTTTCACCCCCTTAAGGGATGATTTCCTTAAAGATCTTAAAATATCTTTTTACCAAATTTCATCTAAATCGGTTCAATAGGTCCAGAGATTACCCCCTACAACGTCACAAATTCACAATTCACGAACTTTATCTCTATTATATATATATTGAACTTGAATTGAACTCTCACTAGCATTTAATGGGTAAATAGCTACGTAACACAAATTTGTTGTGTATAGGTAAGGAATACTCACTATGTAAATGAGACTAAATTTCATTAGTTAATCTAATATTTATATAACAGCATTTACATAATATATTTACGTATATAGTACTTGTGACTGGTTTAACGGTATGGAATAGTAGAATATATATTATAGTATACAAAGGTATGATGAGTTGTTGTGGGTTGTATTATAACCTGTTTTCCCGCGGGTATAAGATAATTTATTGTGGTAAAAATTAACATATGTAACTCTCCAGCTCTCCAACAATTTCCACACAAAAATTACGAATCACGCCTATCTGTCACTCATTCTCGACGTGAAAGAAGGACAAACGAACAAATAAAAACACTAACATTTATTATATATTAAGAATGGAAGTATGGATGTATATTGTATTGTAAATAAAAGCGAAATACTACTCACTACTACTAGACAAAGAGAAACAAATCTATCCCACAGGAACCGTACATTTTTCCGGGATAAAAAGTATCCTATTTGTTATTCTGATGTATAAACTACATTATTGTAAAGATTCATTAAAATTCAATCAGTAGTTTTTGTAAGCAAAGCTAAGCTGTATAAGTTACTATTGTTTTTCCACGGGAACTCTTTAATTTTCTGGGTTAAAAAGTATCTGAAATCTTGACCGGGATCGGTCTAACAGTTTCGGAGATTAGCCCGTACAAACAGACAAACAGACAGAGAATCAAAAAATTCTTGATTCTTGATTTGTTCTATTTCTCTTCTTACATCCCCCTGACTCGGTTTTTAGATTTTTTTTTCTGTGTACAGACATTCGACCTCTACAGTTATGAATAGATAATGTTACTGATTAAAAATGACAACTATTCAAATTTTCAAGCAATATTCTTTTTGAGTAATAAGTTTTAAGTAAGTAAATGAATGAACGTAGGTTAAAAAGACCTAATTAAGGTCTATTTACGTAATTAAAATTTCATTTTTATTAGAATTTCTCAAAAACTGTATACTCTATGTGAAAGAAAATTTTATTACACTATCTCGGAATATACATTAAAGGAATACAATTTAAACTAACAAAATCGGTCAAGCCGCCTCCGAGAAATCGATCAACATATATGTAAAATAGAAAAAAATACACACAGACGAACATAAAACGTCCTTCTTTTTGAAAGTCGATTCAATAAATTAGTAGGTGAACTCTACTACTATACATGAATAAGCAGAGTATAGGCGCAGGGAAACGCTCTTTCTGAGATAAATAAATAAGTTCTTTTTTATTGCGTCAACCGTTATCCATACAACCCTACGAGTTTGTTTCTGATATAGGTTGCCTGGAAGAGATCACTTCAAGTGATAAGGCTACCTTTACATTGGAACATGTATTTGTAAATATCTGTATTTTTTTTTGTTTTTTTTTGGGTTAAATAAAGAATTAAATAATAATAAATAAGATGTTAGTGACTATTTCATTTAATCCACAATATATACCCATTAGCATACTAAAAATAAATTAATAAATTAATTTTCAAGCAAACGCTTATAAATGCGATAACAGCTTCTGTACAAGTTAGTAAGTAAAGGTTTAAATAAATAAATAAACTGTTATTATTTACATTACAAATGTTACCAATTCGTGTACTGTGACAAAGTTAAAAATAAAATGTCATATTTTGTTCTGTTAAGTAAATAAAATAACGCTCACATTTCGAATAAAATCCAATCAAAACATATAACATGAAGGATTTTAACTACAATTTCTTTAAATAGATCTTTAAAACAGGTTATACGACTGTTATTTTTAACTTTCTCATCTCGCTGTTTGTTAGGGGTTGAACTTTAAAAGTTCAAAATCTCCATCAAGTCCCATTCACCAATATGATTTAGTCCTTTTTGACGATAGCCTGAAAAGTATTCGTATATTAGTTCTTATAAATAACAGACATCTTTTTAGTTCGCTTTTGGATGTAGAGGATGATGTAGCGATTCAAAATTCTCTTCTTTTTTCTTGTTTTTCTTATACTCTGTTTTGTAAAGAACAGAGTGAAAAAAAAGAAAAAAGAACAGAATAAAAGAATCAAGAATAAAATAAATAATAACTTTACCTGGTGTTGTATTAATAGTGAAAATCATAACAACGTCTTTAATATATTTTAAAAAATTACAGTTTTGTGAAGTGCTATTCAATAAAGGTGCGTTATATTGTTTCGAATTACGTGATGTTAATATTTTTAAATAGTAATTGAAATTATGTATATTGAGAAATAGAAAGTGTTTTCATTTCAAACAATGTTGTTTTCAATAGATGAAAAAATGAATAGAATAGAAAATTTTAGAAAAAAGTAGATACACAATATATATATATAGTTTGAAATGTTAATCACTCAACGATCGCGGACACAGTTAACAATAGATTTCTTAGAAATTTAATTAATTTATTAGAAATTTACCTGGATACGTTAAATTAAAAAATCGTTTAAACAAAGTGTTACTATTCTGCCATGGAGTAATTTGCAAATGTAAATATATGAGATTAATCTAGCTTAAGATAAGAAAAAAACTATTGCATGACAATTACGTAAACAAAATTTAACTTTAAAAGAGCAGGTGTTGAGTTTCTTGTCGGCTCTTCTCAACAGAACTGGCTTCTAACCGGTGATTGCTCCCTCAAACACTTATTATGTTGACATTTATTTGATATATTGACATTTCAAAAATGCAGGTAAAATTCTATTTAAATAAATACGAGTAGTAGAGAGAGAGTACGTAGCCTAGTGGTAACACGTTCGCTTGGGAAACAGAGTAAAGTGGGTTCAAATCTCGCAACTCTGATATTTTCATGTGCGAAACATTTCCAATATGATTATCACTTGTTTATGGTGTAGAAAAATAACGTGAGGAAACCTGCGTGTCCGAGAGAACCAGCAAGTTCTCGAAAGACATGTGAAGTCCGTCTATCCGCACTTGGCTAGCGTGGTGGACTATGGCCTGATCCCCCTCATAATGAACGGAGGCCCGTGCTCAGCAGTAGGACGTTAAAAATGACGACACATAAAAAACGAGTTTGAGTTTGAAAGAGTAGTGAAGAAATAAAAGACAGTGTAATATTTTATTATATTTAATCATGCTTTCATGCAATTATAAATAAGAGCCATGCACTTGACTGATAAATAAAAACAATCATGTAAAATACTAACATAAAGTTAGTTGTACATGTTTCAATGTTTATTATGTCACTTTGCCATCACTTTCTTATTAATATAATAAGAAAAGGATGACTATATAAGAAAAAATAACCTTATTTATCAGACGCATTCATTCAGAACTTATAACTAAATTCTTACAAGCTATGTTTATAATTTCCTATTGGTCAGTATAAACAAACTTTTTAAAATTATATTGTGCCAAAGGCCCGTAAATACCCAAAAATAGGGCAGTAAAATTAGAGTGTAACCATGCGAAATCCATGCATGTATAAACACTTGCAAGGAACAACATTGCAACTCAGCAATAAATAAAAAATATATTTTGTAATATAAAATTCAAGCACAAATTACCAACACCGAGTTACAATTTTGTTTTGTGCATGTCTTGATATACCCATGCATATTTTTAATCGGTCACCTGAGGAGAGAATAACTTCTTCAGTCCGATGATTGTTGCTAGTAAGAGGGCAATTTTTGATATGAGCAGGGCCTTTCCGACCATCAAGTACAACCCTTTGAAGGTCAATGCACCCAACAGACCAAATTTCATCGCAGCAGCAGCTAAAAATGGACCCATGTTTTTGTTCCTGGCTCTTCCACTTTCAATGTCTTTATGAGCTTTCATTGATACACCTGTAATAGAATAAATAAAAAAATTACGTATATGGAAAAAAAAACTAAGCGTCGCTCGTCCCTTTTCAATAAGTCCGTATGAAAGCTCTCTGGAAATAACAAAATTAATGTGGAAAATGTAGAATTAGGTAAACTAAAGACAATAGATAATAAAATAAAAAATTAGTACATATTGGTTAATAACATTTTAAGTATGGTTTATATTGTATCTATACTAATATTATAAAGAGGAAAGATTTGTTTGTTTGTACCGAATAAGCTCTGAAAGTACTGGACCACTTTAGATTAAATTTAGTAATAAGATAGTTTGAGACCCTAGGAAGGACATAGGATAGTTTTTATCTCGGAAAACATCTCTTAAGGGGGTGAAAATGGGGATGAAAGTTTGTATAGGGAACCAACCTATGTATGTAACTGAAGATTATGTAAACCTATAAACGAATTTAAGATAAATAAAATATCAAAAAGAAAATATTTTTTTGATCATTTGATTTAAATTAATAATTAATTGGAACCAAATTTTGCAATAAAAACATTTATGGACTTATAGTTTATGCTCATAGCTTCACTTCACCTATTACTTATTCTTACAAATATGATTAGCAGTTACAGCATAGAGACCTATACTTTTTTAAATACACTTACACACTTATACACTTTAAATATACTTTTTTTTATTTATGAACCGATTGAAATAAAACAAATACTAAATGTTAAGTGAAGCTTACCTAAATACATTAGTGAAAACCGCACCCAAATCAGTTAAACCGTTTCTAAGATTAGCGCGCACAAAGGCACAGACAAACAGAGAAATTGACAAAGTTCTAAAAATGACATACATTTTATATAATTATTTAAATTTTTGCGAACAAGTAATATATTACACAGTATATTATATGTATAGATGTTATTATAAGCCTTAGACACGTGTTAATGAACTAAGGCATTATGTTAGTTTCTTAAGATAGCCCTGAAGTTTATGGGAAAACTTTGTTACCATATCCCAAAAGTTAGCTTGGTTTGCAATTACTGTAAACATCATAACAATTTTCTACTACAGAGTTTCATTTCATTTTAGCCAGCTTAGTTTGTTTTAGAGTCGCTTTTAGAGCTAAAATTTTTCTTAGCTAATTATCCAGATAAATTCATGATATATTCAAATAACACTTAATTTCTTTCTTTTTAATAAAAAAATATCTTATCTTACCGCTTTGTAATATAAAATAAATGACTCTATAAAAAGTTTTTAAATTTTAAGTTCAATAGCTTGGTTCTAATCGATATTATTTGCTTTACTATCAATTTTTCAGGATATTATCGCGTTATTATCTATACTAATATTATAAAGAGGTAAAGTTTGTGTGTTTGTGAGTTTGTGAATTATGAGTTTGTGACGTTGTAGGGGGTAATTTCTGGATCTACTGAACCGGTTTAAATGAAATTTGGTAAGAAGATAGTTTGAGACCCTGGGAAGGATATAAGGTACTTTTTATCCTCGAAATAATCTCTTAAGGGGGTGAAAATGGGGATGAAGTTTGTATTGGGAAGCAAGCTAGGGACGAACCCGAGCGAAGCGAGGGTAAGTCACTTGTCTATACATATAATAAAATTGTAACTAAGCCGAATCTGTACATTAAATATTTTTCGGAAAATCTAATTGAAATAGACATTATTATCAATACAGAGTCCGAATCTATAGTTTTTTGAATTTTTGTCTGTCTGTCTGTCTGTCTGTTACCGCACCACGCACAGAAAACCACTATACAGATTTTGATGAAATTTGGTATAATGATAGCCGGTTTGTATTCCGGGTCAACATATAGGATACTTTTTACCGCGGGAAAATTTTCTGAGAAAAAATACAAAAACACAAAAACTGCATTGTAAGAGTATACTAATATGTAAAACCTAAGAATTTGGTGAACGCGGGCGGAGCCGCGGGCAATGCTAGTAATCTATAAGAAGGTAAATGTATGCCTGGTAAAAAATATGAAGTCTTTCTTTGTATCTTAATATAAAATAAATAATTCTAAATTCCTATGTATCAAGTCATTTTTAAAAGACTGGACGAATTTTACGATGTTTTTGATCTATACAGGTAATAATAGTTTAAATTGAAAATAGAGTGCAGATTTATTTCTATTAGCTCAAAAAAATCTAAAGATATCAAGAAGTAACTTAAAACGATATCTAGTATGAAATATTTTTGAAGAAGTATCATACTTTCTTAAGCAAATCTCATAACTATTTGATTTCTAACGTGTAGTATTTTGTATCAATAAAGCTTTCAAAATAAGTTAGCAGAAAAATGTGTTTGAGCCACTCCAAGAAATCACTTGAAAATTTACCAGTAGCTATTATTTATATAAAATTTTATATATTACTAGCAGAACCCACGGCTTCTAAAACTACAAAAAATCTCTAAAAAAGGTGTTTCCTACCAACTTTCATCCCTTTATAGGATAAATTTCGAAAAATGCTACAACACGTATTTGTTTAATTTTATTGAAGAGCATTGATACCAAGTTTCAAGTAATTCTGATCATAAACATTTTTTTGGATTGTATTATAAAGTCTTTCTCCCCAACTATTTTCTCCACACAAAAACTCATGCAAATAAGTCACTCCGTTTTGACGTGAGAGAAGGACAACAAACAAACACACTTTCACATTTATAATATTAAAAGTATTATGGATGAACATAATTCTCGTAAGTTTCTTACCCCTGTATGTTTAGGAAGCAAATCGTACGGAAATTATTCTTGAACTGGACCCTCTTAAGCAAATTGGTTTTACTGTCTAAATCGGTAACACAAAACAACAAAACAACACGTGCCACGTTTAAATACGCTATCTATACATATAAATTATAATAAAATTCTGAGTCGAATCTGTACATTAAATATTTTTTGGAAAATCTTATTGAAATAAAATTCACAGAAAAACCACTGGAGGGATTTTAATCAAATGTGGTATGGTGATAGCTGATTGTTCGGATCAACATATAGGATACTTTTTACTGCGAGAAAATATATCTCATCTCTGAGAAATCTATACTAAACGTTAAAACGTCATCAAATAATATTTATTTATCAAATTTTAGTTAGCAATTGTAGATATATTGTTTTGCCTTTATGAGGTTTAAAATTTTAGAATTTCAGAATAAGTTCTGCTCTAACAATATCTTTAATATCTATAAATACTCTTTCTAATTTCCTTAGACGACAATCCAATATAACAGGTCCAAAAATCATAAAGACGAGGAGACGATGACTGTGTTTTCCGTCACCGAGGACGGATTCTTATCTCTGGACCACTGAGATTATATTGACAGAAAAAGTTATCCTAACTCATAACTTCACACCACTCGAACATAGAACCCATGACCAATGATCATGGATCATGATCTTAGTCCATTAGATGCAGGACTAGGTATCTATATCAAAATACTGCTCGTAAAATATTTATTTAAGTCGAATGAAATTCTCAAGTTCTATAAACGTTATAATTTGTTAGATTAACGTTTTAGAACTTATGCCATGTGTAATCCATACATATAATAAAATTGAAACAAAGCCGAATCTGTACATTAAATATTTTTTGGAAAATCTTATTGAAATAAATATTATTATCGATACAGAGGCCGAATCTGTAGTTTTTAGATTTTTTGTTTGTCTGTCTGTCTGTCTCTCTGCTGTCTGTCTGTTACCGCATCACAGAAAAACCACCGGAAGAATTTTGATGAAATTTAGTATGATGATAGCTGGTTATCCGGGTCAATATATAGGATACTTTTTACCGCGGGAAAATATCTCATTTTTGAGAAAATATGCAAAAACTGCAATATAAGAGTATACTAAATGTAAAACCTAAGAATTTGGTTTTTGGTGTTCTGAACGCGAGCGTAGCCTCGGGCAATGCTAGTTCTATTATAATAACAATGTTTAATTAAAGCAAACGTTTATGTATAAGTTCATTAACTTTGAATATCGTAGTTTGTGTTATTTAAGGAGTTAATGACCGGTAATTGAAGTGTAAAATTAATTTACGGTTTACGTTATTACGGTTTACACTTCTTTTTTTTAGTAAATTCGAATTACATATAAATATTATGATTTTCTTGTACTCGTAAAAATAATAGTCTTCTTAAAATATTTTGAACTTTTACGCTCAGGACTTAGAGCTATTAGGATTAAAATACAACACTAGTTGCATACCCTCGCTTCGCTCGGGTGCGTCCATAGGTACTTATGTAAATACTCGTATAGCTTTGCTATAGTCTAGTCGTAATATATCTTTTTAAGAGGAAAAATTTCGTCATACTATGTATATTATAACATTCAACATCATCATCATATTTTACACAAAACTTTAATAAATTATAATATACTAAACCTTTCTTCATGAATCACTTCGTTCATTAGTCAAAACCGTTTAAAAATCCATTTGGTAGTTTTTGAGTTTATCGCGATCAGACAGACGCGGGACTTTGTTTTATAATTACCAATATATAGGATATTTTTTAAATAAAATCTCAAAAGAAAAAATATGTCGTCTCTGAGAAATCTATACTGAACGTCAAAAAGTAAGTTTGTAGGGACGAACCCAAGCAAAGCGAAGGTGAGTCGCTAGTTTAATATATATAGAAGAAAGATAAAATGCAACTTTTTGTTTCTCTGAAATTAGAAGCTCTGTTTGAAAACTTTTTTCACGTTATAGCTTATTTGTTAGGATTATGATACGATGCTATAATTTTCAAGTGAGGAGTAATTATACATCAATAAAGTAAGCGAATAAAACCTAGTTTTATTTCAAAATGAATTTGAATGTATTTAAACAAATACTAGCCGAAATTTCATAAAAACCTTTTAACTTTTTGTCGTGTCGTTTAAATTTTTTATGTCCTTTAACAAAATTCTGGCAACAATAAATGGGTTTTCTAATTAAAATAGACATTATACTCGTGACAGTTCCATAATTAAAGTAAACAAATTGGTGCAGAAAACGATCGTTGCTTAGAGAAACGAATAATGAAAAAAAAAACTAAGTATATTTTTAATTAAAAGAAGATAAAATATTTTCATAAAAACCTTACAACTTTCTTAGAGAAAGCTAATGTTTATATTAACTTATAGCAAGAGAAATATTTAAAGATCGTATTAAGACTCTATTTATGTTAGAACAATGGTAACAAGTTTGATTATGAAAAGTTTGATGGAATAGATGTACTATATATTAAATACATACATAGGTATGTATGTAAAAAGTAACCTATGTCACTCTCCAGCCCTCCAACTATCTCCACATAAAAAATCACACCAAGCCGTAACTCTCTTTCGACGTAAAAGAAGAACAAACAAACAAACAAACAAACAAACATACTTCAACTTCAACCTTTATAATATTAAAAGTATGGATTGTAGGTACTTACTACTATGAATATGCGAAAATTTGTATGTGAATGTATGTGTGTTTTTGTTACTCCTTTACACAAAAGCTACTGGACACATTTGAATAAAATTTAGTATATAGATAGGCTATGACTTGGAGTAACATATAAACAACTGTTAGACACCAAGAGACGCACCTTTTTTTTTTTTTTTTTTTTTTTTTTTTTTTTTTTTTTTTTTTTTTTTTTTTTTTTTTTTAACGTTGGGAAATGCATTTACGCACGAAGTGTGGGACTCACCGGCGAAGCCAGTACTACCCACTAAAACCCAACAAAACCTTCCCCCGTCTTAATGGGGCGTCGCAGGATCGCTTACGCATTCAACTACGACGCCCCGACGGCAGGTCTGCCGAAGCAGACCACAACAACCATGGGGTTGCTCCACGGTCCACTCTGCTATCAGAGAAGTACCAGGAGCAACCCGCATGGTACACCACCCTCCGAAGAAGGCCGCCTCCCACCGCCCACCGAAGCGGGCCACCTCCCTGTGCGTTTCTTGGCTTCGCGAGTACACTACTGAGCCCCCCCACCACGACAAGGTGAACGCACGTTGGGAGGGACCAAGAGACGCACCTAAGCGAAGTGAGCTTAAGTCACTTGTATTACACCATAATAATTAATGAATTAATTTCCTTACCAACGCCTAAGCTTCCATCTTTTTCTTTCTTTCCAGCGATTACAACGTCTGCTGTGTCCAATAACCTGTACCTAAGAGATCGCGTAGTGGCAAAGTTCCATAGTTTTTCCAAAATCAAACTTTGTGCTTGGTCTTCTAAAGATGAGCCGGCTCTGGCTAATGTCTCCGATCTTACAGGCATTTCTGATGCAGCACCATTGCTTTAATAGAGAAATAATATTTACATGAATATATTTTTTTATACTTTGATAATTAAAAAATCTATTTGTATATTTATATGTTTATTATATGTTATAGTATATTGTACATTTTTAGTAGTTTTTTTATACTCTATGTTTCGAATATAACATAGGTTTTTTACTATACATTTTAAGGTACTCTTTTACTACTTTGTTTGTACATGAGCTAGCATGATTGCAGGTTACTGGGTCCCAAGATTGACTCTGATTCGAAGAAAACTGGTTAATATCGTAAATTTAAAAACTGAAGATCATTGAAGCTTTCGGTTCTGCAATTATATTCTCCTTTAGTCTCACCAGTGGTATTGACGTTCTACCAGAATATCTAACATAAAATAAAAAATTCTTTATTTTTAAGTTTTTATTTTTTCATTTTTAGTGTAGACGTAATAAGCAGGTAATTTGTAAGAAGAAAGTTTTTTAATAACATATTCGATTAACCAATCAATGTTGATTTTTTTAAAAAAACCGCTCAACCGATTTCGATAAAATTTATATGGGACCACCTGGGAAGTATACCCTTTGAAACAAAAAATATATATTTCCAAATTGGTTCAGGCGTCTTCGATAAATCGGTAAACATAGATAAAAAAGATTCCGACGAATTCCGACGATTCCGACGTATCTTAACCGATTACTCGAAGACGCCTGAACTGATTTGGAACATTCTTTTTTTGTTTCAAAGGGTATCCTTTTCAGTAGTTCCATTTAAATTTTATCGAAATCGGTTAAGCGGTTATTAAAAAAAATCAACAATAAATTATTTTTAGAAAATGACTTAGTCGAAAATGTTATTAAAAAACTTTCTTCTCACAAATTACCTGTTTATTACGTCTATACTAAAAATGGAAAAATAAAGACAAAAAAACCGACTGACTTCCAGGCACTAAAAAGTAAAAAAATAACTAAATGTGGGTTTTCATTTAGAATAGGTAGTAGATATCTAATCAGATATTTTCGAAGTCGGTGAGCTTTAGTATGTATCGGCTGGAACCTTGGATGGATAAAAGGAATAAATTAATTTTATCTTTTAATTATATTTATATAGAATGAAATTACCTTTCATCAACAACCATTAGGTCGTCAGACAACTGGAAGGCGGCGGTCCTTAGCATTCTGTCGACATATCCTACAAGCTCGATAGCGATACAAGATGATGTCTCCCGAGACACACATTTCTTTGTGAGACCGCGTTTCAGCGTTTCTTCTGATGTTGACATCTGCAATGATAAGATTTAAAAACTGATAATTATTTTGTAACTAAAAATGTACAATTACAATTAATTAATGGTAGAAATAATTTCATACAAAGTGTCATGATGGTCACAACTCTCTAAAAGTAAATATAAGTATATCATAATTTTTGAAATTTATTATTTTGTTTCTTAATCAAATCTACATTGAGATAAATTAATAGTTTTTATTTAAAACCAGGGTCCTCAGGTATTTATTACTTTTACATAATATTTAACATAAACCTAGTGAAAATCAAGCCGAGAAACTTCTATCTTTTGAACCTACGACCACCTGTATTGTAGTGAGCACCTTTTAGACGTCATATTGCTACTTTTTAGATTAAGAAATACTTTTATAAATCATTAAGATATCAGCTTATTTTACTTAAGCTATCCAAGTATCTAGGAGGGGTATTGTACTGCATAATGAAAATTAATGCTCTAACAAAATTCAAATTAAAGTTCTGATATTAAATAAACGTCGGGCAATAATAAAATAATAAATTTTGAAAGACATGCAGAAATACCTATGGTTTTATTTAAAATCCATACGAAAATTATACAGATGCAAAGTTTCTTTGTTTAAGCGCACTAATCTCAGGAACTACAAATCCGATTTGAAAAATTCTTTTTGCATTAGATAGCCCGTTTATTGCGGAATATATAATATATATTATGGTAGAATATATATTTTATCTTTTCCATACTAACCGTTAAAACGTACCTAGGGACGGATCCGGGTGAAGCGAGTGTGAGTCACTAGTGTTTAATATTAGCATAAATCTAAGAAAGTATTAATGTACGCATACTCAGGTACACACACTATTATTTTTATAGTTATATCATTAAGAAGAATTAACATAATATTTAGCATTTATTAATATCCCTCTACTGGGCACGAGCCACAAACCAAATGCGGGTTGGCAGATCTCACACGTCTTTTGAAAACTCGCTAGGTTTTCTCAAACAAGTAGGTTTTCTCATGATGCTTTCCTTCATGGTAAGGCATTTGATAATCGTGTTGGATTTGTACCCGCTTCACTCGGCTTCCAAAGCAAGCACGTAACCACTGAACTACCACTGTCTCACCAATATACATTATGGAGCTTAATTTCAATTCCAAGATTGTTAGCTTACTTGCCAAGTACAAATGAATTTATTACTTGTTTAAGCGTAAGATATACTCTAAAACTACCAACTCATTTTGGTAATGTATCGCAACTCACGTATCTAAAATATAAATGAAACTAGAGATACGAAATCTCTTGAAGAAAGCTTTATCGAATTATAACTTAATTTTATTTACAAAAGAAGTGGATCAAATAATAGATGTTTATTTTATTTTTGTTAAATCTATAAAAGCTATTTAAAGCTTTTTGGTTTGTGTAAAAGTTGCTATTTTCTGCGTAATAAATCCATATAAGTATATATATTTTTTTAATATTTTTTCTATTGAATTGAAGGGCTTATAAAGAAGTCTAAGCCATGAAGGCTTAATCTTGCTCGCATAAAAAGGGGTAACTCTGATATATGTATAAAATGAGAAATATCAAAATTTATATCTTTTATATGATTTATTGTGCCAACTACGAATATTAGACCTTATAATACACCTTTGTTACAAAATTAAGTTTCGTTTAACTAAAATTATTTTTATTTTATTTTTGACTTCAAATATGACTATTACGTGACCAATTTGCTGTAAAGCATTCTAAAAGCCGGGAAACAACAGTCCAAATAAAATGACTAAAATATTAGGAAAACTTTTATTTTAAACGTTTAATATTCACGTAAATCAAAAAAGTATTAAGGTCAGTTATTCCAACGATAGCATAACGTTTTAGTATTCGCTTTTAAAACATGCATTTAAAAATTAAATAAAATAATAAAAAATGCCCTAAAAAGCCAATTTAAAAAAACTTTTGATTGATTTTTTTGGTTGCTACTAGATTATAATGCTTTAGAAAATCTAGTGATTTTTAAACTTTCTAACACTCAAAAATGGATGTACGAATTTTATGATTCTTTAGGTATGCAATTTTGTGTGAAAAATTTATTATGTTTGAAATAGATAAATTGAAATTTAAGCTTTTTTAATCTAGTACTTCGCTGGCACTAAAACTACAAAAAAAATATCTAAAAAGGTACCTACAGGTTTCATACAAACTTTCATTCTCTATTTTACCCCCTTATGGGATGAATTTCGAAAAATGCTGAAACACGTATTTATTTAATTGTATTGAAGAGCATTAATATCAAGTTTGGGTTGTATTATAACGTGTTTTCTCGTGAGAATGAGATCTCCCACGGAAAAAAGTAGCCTATGTCATTCTCCAGCCATCCAACTATACCACACACAAAAAGTCACGCTAATCCGTCACTCTTTTTCGATGTGAAAGAAGGACAAACAAACACACTTTCATATTTATAATATATATATATATATATATATATATATATGTGTGTATATATGTATATATATATACGCCAAGTCAAAGTCGAAATTCGAACATAATGTATAATACATCCATTCTAACCTTGTGTTAAATTAACTAATTTGAATGAAACTACTTTACTAGAACATGTAAGACGATTTCCGTTAACAAAAAACAACATAATCATTTTAACAATGTAACTCTCGTTGATTCTCCGAAAGAAAGTATGAGAGTGTAGTGAGATTTAAGAAAACAATAAGGTACTAAATACTAATAATGAATCGGATACAATGTTACACCGCAATTTCATTCACGTCGAACCAAAAAAAGCAGAAATATGCAGTAGAGAATAACTTCTATATAATAACACTCAACCTCGCTTCGCTCGGGTTGATTCCTGGGTATGGTTTAACGACTAGTATGGAATAGATAGACTATATATTATATTATGATTATAATGGATATAGTATGTTATCTTTAAGAGATAGACATATGCCATCGCGGGATTTTTTAAATAACTTAAAAACTTACTTAACGAATTAACTTTTTATTTACTTTTTTTTAAATAACTGTACGTTTAACTGTTGTTTTCAAGGTTAACGTAATCTTATTGAATTTCTTTCAATTTAGAAAAAGGTTCAATGTAATTTAAAGTTTTTATTTACAGAGATATCTCATTATACTATTCGTACACATTTGTTGCTTTATCTCACGTATTTTTTTAGATAAAGTTTACGTTCTTAATTGATTTTCGATGAAGAGATTGCCGTTCTTTAGTTTTGCTAAAACTCATAAATGGCTGGACCAATTTTTAAAATTCTTTTTACGTCTTATAGTACGGAAGATGTACTGCGCCGATCCCAAGTGATTGGAAAATGGGCAGGGGGATGTGATGATGATGTTTGTATAATACTAGCGATAGGTTGATTCCCCACAAAAACTTTCATCCCTATTTTCACCCCTTTAAGGGATGATTTCCGAGATAAAAAGTATCCTATGTCCTTCCCAGTCTCAAACTATCCACTTACCAAATTTCATCTAAATCGGTTCAGTAGATCCAGAGATTACCCCCTACAACGTCACAAACTTTACCTCTTTATAATATTAATAGGATAGATATAGTCTATCATTCCATACTGACCGTTAAGCAACGATAGTTAACTATAAAAATATAATATACTGTATTGAATAATATTTAATCTGTGGTCTAAAATAGGCGTCCTTGACCATTTTTTTGCATTGAACAGGAAATTAGCAATAACTCGATGTCCCGAAATAATAATAGCTATAAATGAAGAATTACTAAAACAAGTGACCCAAAATCAAATAAATTACGTAGGTCTGGGCTTTTAACTGTAATTCTAGATCTTTAAGCCGACTATGATACGAGACTAGTTAATATGAGTCAAATGTCTAATGCTTATACTCGTATAACCAAATATTAAAAAAATCCAGTAGTAGAAGAATTCCTCTATTTACCTTCTGGTTTAATCATCAGAATAGCTCAATGATAGTTAGAAAAATATGATGTTCTCGTCCAGATTTCAATAAATTAAGTTTCAAAGGATACAATTTGTTTAATTATCAATAATTTGTTTAGAAACTAAAAACTTAGTTATGTACAAGTTAAACTAATAACAGTGTATTGAAAGGTAGCCTATATAAATAACACTCCGACGGCCGACCTAAAACAATCTAGAAAAACAAATCAGCTTATTTCTATATGAGAGAACTAATAAAAAACTCGTTTTGGTCGTAACTAGGTATAATGTGATCTGTGCGTATAGTAAAGAAGTCTCTACTCTCAATGCTGGCGGTCGCCGCTTCGAATCCTATTCGGAACAAATATTTATACTTATACTCGTGATGTAGTTGTGTTTTGTATTTATTTGTTTCAATGATGTTAAAATATTCTTTATATGTATGTATCCTCTATACTTATTTTATCTATGTTCAATCGTATTAATCTATACATATACATACAAACAAACAAACAAATAAATGAAATTAAATTGTCTGTTTGTAATGTCAAAATAATAGCTTTTGACTAAATGCATATGAAAATATATACGGTACTTATAAGAAAAAACTATTTTTATTTTTTTTGTCTATTAGTCTGTTTATTCGGCTAATCTCTAAAACGGCTAAACTGATTCTGACGGAACTTTTACCGGCAGATAGCTGAAGTTATGAGAACTAACTCAGGCTACTTTTGTTTTAGAAAAAGAACTAGCGTCCTCGCTCCGCTTGGTTTCGTACCTACTTACATTTTAACGTTTAGTATAGATTTCCAAGAGATGAGATATTCTCCCGCAGTAAAAAGTATCCTATATATTGACCCGGATAAACAACTGACGATGATGTTCTCCTGACCGATTCCGGCCACGGCGGCCAATCTCATTGAGGCTAGCCAACTGCGCAGGAGATATTATAGTGCAGAAGTGTACGCGTGGACACAACGTGCACTCTCTATTCCTGTCACTCTCATACTCCGGTGGGACGACTGCTCGACACGACCAGTGAGAGTTAAGGCGCAGGACCGACGGCTTT